ACTGGGAACTGGAGGATTTAATTTAATTTTATTTTTATGTATAGGCACTTTTAGAATTTAGGAGTACAGCCAGATGCTACATTAAAATGGTTTCTTAATTCTTGTTTGTCCATCAGGCTTCAGCTGAGAAGGCAGCTTTTATAATAAGCAGTGAAGAATGTGATAGCTTCAGTGCATTTAATAGAATTCTTCTTTAGTGTGTCCTTGTGAAATTCTGAAAGAAATATGGAAACAAATCAATAGAGCAGTAAGTGCATTTTGAAAGACTGGAAAACCCCACTGGACTTACTCATGAGAAGAAAAAAAACCTCAAAAATTCTGTGTTTGAGGGCTGTAACGTACAGCATGTGTCAGTGAGTGTTGTTGCCAAAAATGGAGGAATGTGGTTAGAGCATAATTTAGGGAACAAGCTATGATACATGTTTTCTTCACTCATCTCTCAACAGCAGTAGTAAAACTGATAAGTTTGTGCTTGTCTCCTGCAGCAAAATTCCATGAGTGCTATTTAATGCTGCTGGGCAGGGACTGTGTGAGCAGTGCAGTGACCCAGATGCAAAAGGCACCATAATAGTTCCAGTTCATGTTTCTTCTTCAGAACAGCAGCAGAAGGGGAAGTCGAGTGATACTTGGAACAAAAAGGTTGACAGGACTTTTTAGTGCATTTCCCTCCATGGAAGATTTCAATAACTCTGCATCGTATTTTCTAGTTTTTCTTTTGAGCCTGTAACAATTGTCTCAACAAAGTGTTAATAATGATACAACTTTTTGATACTTAGAGGTCAGGCAATCAGTGCATGTTTATCTGTTAATGAAATAAGTATGTTCAAAGATGGACTCTACATTATCCCAGCAACTCTTTTTTTTTTTTTTCCCCTCTGGATAGGCAGAGGAAATCCCCAAAGTTCTTTATAGAATCATAGAACCAGTTAGGTTGGAAAAGCCCCCTGTTAGGTTGGAAGGTTGGAAAAGCCCCCTAAGATCATCAAGTCAAATCATTAACCCAGCACTGCCAAGCCCACCACTAAGCCATGTCCCCAGGTGCCACATCTGTATCTTTTAAATACCTTGGTCCAGCCTATCCAGATCCATCTGTAGAGCCCTCCTGCCCTCCAGAAGATCAACCCAATTTGGTGTTGGTTGCAAACTGACTGAGAGTGCACTCAGTCCCCTCATAAAGATCATTGATAAAGACATTAAACTTGTCTGGGCCTGGTGGATGTAACTCCATTCCCCATGGCTCTCTGGGCTGAGCCATGCAGCCTGTTCTTCACCCATGTACTGTGCACCTGTCCAAGCCATGGCAGCCAGTTTCCAAGAGAGTGCTGTGGGACAGAGTGTCAAACTCTACCAAAGTACAGGTACACACGTCCACGGCCTTTCCTTCATCCACTGAGTGGGTCACCTTGTCACAGAAGACCTGGTTGGTCAAGAGGAGCTGTTTTTCCTAAACCCACACTGGCTGGGTCTGACCCCTGCTTGTCCTGGATGTGCCATGTGATGGCAATAAAATTATCTGTTCCATGGCCTTCTGTGGCACCAAGGTGAGGCTGACAGGCCTGCAGTTTCCCAGACCACCCTTCCAGTCTTTCTTGTAGCTGGGTCACATCTGCTGACCTCCAGTCATCTGGGACCTCCCCAGGTAGCTGGGATTGCTGGTAAATCATGGGAAGTGGCTCTGTGAGAACCACAGGGCTACCCCAAGGAGTCTCCTTCCTTGCCTGTCCCTTCTGAAGAGGTTTTAGCCATCTGTTGAAGCACTCCAGTTGTGCCAGTCATCCCACCATGTTTACACGATGGTAACCAGGTCTTTCTGGGTCTTCTGAGGAAGCACATCCCTGCTTTACAAGCCTGTAAATCAACAGCCAGCATCAAATGCAGAACTCCAGCCTGGCCCAGCCTTGCTCAGACTTGACCTTTTTTATCTGAAAGAGCCATTTGAAGTGTGACTGTTCATGCGTATGGAAAACAGATGCTTTAAAGTCTTCCTGCTAAGCTGGCTTTGAGGAAAGGGTGCTTTATGAAATAGTTCCACTCTGTTCCTTAACTGAGAGGGTGTCTAAAACAGATTAAGGTAGGGAGTGCTCTGATCAGATTTCCACATTAAGAAGTCTTTGCTGGAGGAGCTGTGGAAGGGACTGCAACTTATGGTAGAAGATGTCCCTGATTAACGACTAAGGGCACTAAGATAGTTTCAGATGGAGAGGGAACACCAGGTGATACTTAATCCTGGGGCACCTGCAGTGCTTTGCCTCTTGAGTTTTTGGCCTTGGTCTTGTCCTCACTTTGGTGGATCCTATGGTAGGTATAAAGATCAATTCCAGGGCAGTATGTTTATTTTCACACTCAGTGCAAGTTATCTGAAAGTTCTTTTAAAGCATATAATGAAGAATAGTGGCAGAGGGCACTGAAGGATTCATCTTCATGTATTAAAACTGCATGCAGCCTTCCCATTTGTTTTCTGTACCTAAGGGATAAATTTTGATCTTTCTTGGTAAGTGCAAAATAGGAAGAACAGATTCATAAGCTGAATTTGGAACTACGGATGTTTTTACTTGTCCTTAAAATACATTTATTCAGTAAATATATCAGCTGGACCAACGCCACATTTTTAAACAAACAGTAGCAATTTTCTGCATTAAGAGGAGCATGGCTGGGTCACTGTGCCCTGCTGTTCCAGCCATAAGCTGTGGGCAATGCTCCTGACCTGGTTAATGGAGCACCTGAAGATTAAGTGGTGGAAAACACTGAGCAGCAGCTGGAGTCAGCTCTGGCCTGGCTGCACTGGATGGGAGAGGAGACAATTAGGAAAAGAATGAACGATGTGTCTCAAAAATGGTACGGAAGCCAAGAGATACCTATCTGTATGGAAACATGCAGCCTTCCTGGAAGTGGGTGGTTTAAATTTCCTTTGCCAAGAAGGACAAAAACGTCATAGTAAAGAATTTTAGAGGTGCTTGATATACACTGTCTATTTCCAGATTAATGTAAAATACTTGTTGTCAGATAACCTGCTCTGCCTGTTGATTAAATCTCTCCCTCCAGCCTGCTAGAGTGGAAGTCTGGGTGCACACAGAGGAAATGACAGCCTGGGCTGTCTGCTTCCTAATCCCACGTTTGATTTCTGTGTAATAAAAACAAAAGCAGCACCAAGCTTTTAGAATCTCTTCGGTTTGTTTGAGCACTGGTTGTGTGTAATATTGCAGCATGTAAGGAAGGGGGGATGAAATATCCAATATTCACAGCTTATTTCAACTGTAAAATGAGACTCGCTCATCAAAAAGTAAATTAGTCTGACCCGTAATACAGTCTTGAAATCAGTTTTATCTGGTATAATTTCAAAACAGGTTCAGAGTTTGGGTTTTTTTGCTTGAATCATAGAATCATCAAGGTTGGAAAAGATCTCTAAGGTCATCAAGTCCAGCTGTTGGAGACAGACCATGATAATCTGGAAGTCACAGTTCCAGTTTTATGTTTCCTTAAACACTCAACCTTTATTTATTTATTTGCTTTTATCTTAAACATTGCCCAGTTTTAGAAACCTGTAAATTTGGGGGATGGTTCAGATCCAGAAAATGAGTGTTTATCATTTCCTACCAACTGCTTCTGGAAGTATATTCTGAGACAGCCCACTTGTCCCAAGTACTTGGATACATGCTCCTGGCAGATTCAACAGATTCATTACAGTGTAACCACTAATTTCAGTTAACTACAAGATCAAAAATTAATTTGCTTATGATAACTTCCCATTCTCATTGCAAATGGTGGAATGAGTGTATACATTGACTTCTGCTTGTGAAAGAGGAGCATATCCATTGCCCAGCTCCATTTTCCTGCTGGGCACTTGTTAGCAAAGGACATAAAATCTGTGTCTTGGGTGAGTGGGAAAGGAGAAAAGGCATTTTGTACAGTAGCAGCTGAATTCTTATTTTCTTATGTCTTCTGTAAGGTCTTTATTTCAGAATGGGATAGGCTGGGCTCGAAATTTGGCTAAGAAAGGGGCATTTAAGCAGCTTAAATGCCCAGGATAAAACTACAATTCCCTAAGCATCTTGCTTCACTGATGCCTGAAACTGGAGGCATCTTGGTTGCTTGCATGCCTTTTTAATGTACTTGGAAGCTTTTCAGTTGCCTCCAGTTTGGCTCATGTAGCTGTTGTAATCTAAGCAGCCTTGCTCCCAGCTAATCCCCGCTGGGATCAAGAAACCAGGTAATGAAGCGTTTTGGCCAAGGGCCTGATCTGATGATAGATGCTTTCAGAGAGAATCATTTGTACAGCAGGAGGGCTGGGCTCCTTGCAAAAACACATCTGTGGATTCAGGGAGCCATGGGAATGCCAGGCCACCAAGGAAAGAAAGGACTTTTCCACTCCCCAGTTTATCAACAGCTGCAGGGTGCTTGTTTCAGTTATTGCCAGTGAAAAGAGGGTTGGGTCTCTTTGGTTATGTGAAAGGAAATCCATAGGCGGCCGCTTCTAGAAGGTGGCTCATGTGGATGGAGTTTGCTGAGCTCTGGAGGAAGTCAAGCTTCCAGCAGCATGGGTGGGATGATCCCTGGGGAACCACTCTCTCTGCCTGCTCCTTCCTTCTGACCCCAAGCTGAAAGCACTTGGTGCTGGTGCGGGGCACCATGCTTTGGTTCTGACCAGAGATTTCAGGGTCTTCTGAGGAAGCACATCCCTGCTTTACAAGGCTGTAAATCAACAGCCAGCACCAAGTGCAAAACTCTGGCCTGCCCCAACCTTGCTCAGACTTGACCTCTTTTATCTGAAAGAGCCATTTGAGGTGTGACTGTTCATGCATATGGAAAGCAGTTGCTTTAAATTGGCTGGGGAGCACAAGAACAGAGGGGAAATGTTTCATATGGTTGTTACTGCTTTGTGTTGAAAGGTGGCTTTTTTTCCCCTGTGTACTGTGCATCCAGCACACAGGTATGAGGAGCTTTACTCAGTTCTTCCATTGTTCGTGTGTGTTGCTAATGTGGTTTTGTTCTACCTCTTGCAGGCAGTCACTTCTTCCATCGTAATTCTCTGTCCCCTCGAAGCCTGGTCTACGAGAGCGAGTTCTCAACCATCGAGCCTGCCTTGGACATGTACGACGAGAACAAAACCTGAAAGGAATCCATGCTCCTTCCTGGCCCTTTTTCCGTTTTTTTCATTTCTCATTCCTATTGTTGTGTACTCTTTCCATGGATCTCCTTTGTCTGAAGAAGAGCTGCTTTTTCCAGAACACGAACCCACCTTCTCGTTTGCATAGACGAAGACCAGCTGTGGTGGATTCTGAGGGTGGCATCTTTGAGGTGACAAAGAGCTGTGACAAGCAAGGTTGTCTGATGGAAATTGCTGAGTAACAGCATGGGGAGCTGTGTCGGCCCAGCCGCGGCGATGCAGGAGAGGTTTTACGGTGGCCCTAAGAGTTTGTGCTGAACTGCAAATGCGTCTCTTACGCAGGCATCTGCTGTTTCCAATTTTTTAGTTGTCCAGATGGTTGGGCAATGTCAGAAAGGGAACTGGTTGTAGAGGAGATGGCCAGTGACTGGTAAAAGCACTCGTATATCTCGGTCAATCCATAACCTTACTGTGAAATAGCCCCTTCTGGGAGGGACCTTTATAAGTGCATTGCATTTCCTACAACCCACTTAACCCTGGACAGTGACGAGCCAGTCTGATGTTTAAGCTGCAGAGAGGATCTGCATTTGCAGAAAGATTTCAAGGAACTTGATGCTTGGATTTTTTTTTTCTCCAATCTGATTGAAGCAGGAGAAAAATGGTATACACAGAATATACTTTTGGTCCTTCTGTATGCTGAAGTCAAGTGAGTCTCTTTCTGTAGAGAGGACATTCACAGAACCAGCACTTGATCTACCTAAAAACCATTAGACTTTTTGAAATATGCAGGAATCAAATTAGCTTTCTTCCTCACATAACTTTTTTTTGGGGGGATGGGGGGTAAAAAATCCACCAGATTTTTCACTGAGGTTTTTTAAAAGCCAGCATGTTGGCATTACACAGAGAAGAAAAGAGGTAAGCTTCTTATCCCACTTCCTGTTGAGATCTGCAACAGTTATTTAACAAATACGTTCTCTGAGCTGTGCCCTTTCCCACTGACATCAATAACAGGAATGCAGAAAGCAGGAGAAGAAAGGAAAGCAGCTACTGCTTTGACACGCTGCAGGAAAAATCAATTTTTACCAGCATGTGGCAGAAGCAGTGGGGAAATGGATATTGTTTGTAAGTTTCTGAGAGAACAATGCAGAAATGGAGAGCAAGAGAGGAACCTCTGGAGCTAAGTCATCCACAGCGTTCCTGAAATGAGCTGACATGGAGGAGCAAGTGCTTCTGCTCCACTGTTTCCTACTGGACAATGCGTAGCTGTTAATGAATGTTTGGATTTTTCTCCATTGCAGTCTAAGCTACCGTAGGTGTAGAAACTCATTTGTGTCCTTGTAATGTGAAACACGGTTTCACCCTCTGTATAGAAATCTTGAGAAATCAGTTAAGCCAAAAAGAAAGGTAAGACTTACCCTGCCGTGCTTTAATTTCACCCGCTTTTGCTACAAGCAGGGGAATTTTCCCTCCTTTATAATGTTTTTAATTGTATAGCAGTCTGCTTAACATATATCCTTTTATGACGTGTGGTTCAGCTGTGTATTTAACATGGATGTTCAAGAGAAGAAGAAAAACCCAGCTCTGTAAAATGAGGAAATGAGCCTCTTTGCCGAGCATGCTTTGACTTTTGTTGCTGTGTGTCAGCTTTATTTAATCTGATAATTCAAGAGTGGGTGGCGTGAAGTGTAGGGAGGTTTTTCTCATAATACCCACATTGATATTTACCAAATGCACTTTTATTGCCATTCAGCTCGCTCTGGAAAAGCGCTGAAGCCCCAGACTTTTTTAAGAGCACAATTTTGACACCCACTTTCTCCTACAAAGCAGAAGTGAAGGTCACAGAAGTGCCACAGGGGCGGGGGCAGCAGCGGGTGGTGGTCAGCATCCTTCCTCTGGTGTGGGGCAGTCAGTGACAGCTCCGGGCACCACCGGCGAGCCCAGGCACAGCTCCCCATCCCAGCCTGGCTGAGCTGAGCTGCACCAGGGCCCAGGCACAGCTCCCCATCCCAGCCTGGCTGAGCTGAGCTGCACCAGGGCCCAGGCACAGCTCCCCATCCCTGCCTGGCTGAGCTGAGCTGCACCAGGGCCCAGGCACAGCTCCCCA